ACTGCATGACTTTTCAAAGCCAATCACCTCCATATCAGGACAAACACAATCCCTGCTAGCACCGAATTTTATTATGGGAGACAATACCTTCTTGAGCCTTCTGCCCAATTTTCAAGCCATCTTATGTCCTGGAAATTTTTTAACGTCCCAGATAATTCCAATATGTGCCACTGGTCCCAAATCACACTCTCCACAGCTTTATGTCCTATTACTCACCTCCCTCCACATACCCTCTCCCCAAACAACCAAACTTAATGTTTCCTAACAGAGCAAGTCCTTTGCTCTGTATTTTACTACAGCGAGTGCTTTTTACACCTTCTCCACCTATCAGCAAACTCTAATGCAGCGGTTCTCAACCTGTGGGTCGCGACCCCTTTGGGGGTCGAACGACCCTTTCACAGGGGTCGCCTAAGACCATCGGAAAACACATATATAATTACATATTATTTTTGTTAATCACTATAATCACTATGTTTTAATTATGTTCAATTTGTAACAATGAAATTGGGGGTCACCACAACATGAGGAACTGTACTAAAGGGTTGTGGCATTAGGAAGGTTGAGAACCACTGCTCTAATAGGTCTTTAAAAACCAGTTTATGCATAACCCACGGACACAGACCGTGGGGTGGTGAGGGCCTGGGGTAGGAGTGAGCTGGAGGGGTCGATGGGGGAAAAGGGGGGGCATAGGTAATTCTTTCAACAATAAAGATTTTTTTTAAAAAAAAAAGTTCAAACACCAACCCTTCTGTGAAGCTTTCCCTGCCTTTCCAAACCCATGTATGGCAAGTTAGTGAAAAGGGGAAGAAATTATGTGGCTGGACACCGGACGCCTCAAGAGCTGAGAGGTGCGGAATGAGATGCAGCCATGAGGACGTGGGCACTGCCAACGCTGAGCTGCGAGAAGGGGCTGGAACCACCGCCCCCATTTCCCAGTTCTGCCGTCCAACTGGGCCTCAGTGCCCCTCTCACACCTCACACTCGGCCTTTCTCCGCACCTTCGCGGAGAAACCCGCGTGCACCCACCATTGCGCCTCCGTACTCGCGGGGACTCCAGAGCCACCAACAAGAGCGAGGACACTGACCAGCCCTCTCCCCGGCCCTTCTCCACGCACCCGGGAGGCGAGCCCAACTCGTGCCGCAAGCCTTGAGCTGCGGCCCCTCGCAACTGCTGGCAGGACTCCAGGGACCCCGAACCGGGGCGGCCCACCCCTGTCCATCCAGGAGCCGCTATCCCCCGGGGCACCACGCGAAAGCTCCAGCCGAGGTCTCAACTCGCCAGGCCCTGAAGGTTTCCGGACCCCGGCCGCTGGGCCACTGGGTGCCGGATGGCTCCAGCCGGAATCACTCCGGGGGGTGGGGTGGGGGCGGGG